ACGAGTCGTCGCAGATATGCTGAGGCCACATTTTACACGCGGATTTTTCGATCAGTCTAGAATTGATTTTACCTCAACAAATATCGGGAGAGCAATAATTGACTGGGAACAAAGATCTTTTAAAAACTGATTTTCAGGTGAAAATAGAAATCAAAATTTTCCTTCAATTTTAAATAGATTCTGTTTTAGAAAATTTTTAATTTTGAATTTAATTAATGTTAAAATTAATTATTATAATTAAATTAATGTTTAATTCAATAATTTAACATCCCACTTTTGAGAAAAAACTTTCACGAATGATACGGTTTCGGTAATAAGTAATTTTTCTTTATATCTTTTCAGTCTTCAATTCCTAATAAACACGATAATATTCAATAATCATATTTAATGAGTTCTTCAATCGAGATCCATCTCGAAAAACTATAACAAATAAGTAATTTTTCTCTCCTCCGACATTTCTCACTGGAAGTTCTCGGTCGTAGATTGATGGAAGGGTTCGCAGATGAGAAGTTTGGGTTTTGTTAGGTTCTGAAAACGGATCAGCCTGTGTGTGTGTGTGTGTATGTGTGTGTGTATGTGTGTGTGTGTGTGCGTATGTGTACAATATGCAATTTTATTGCGCGCGGCGATATTGATACTGGACGGTATCGGGGTTCTGCGTGGAAAAATGCAACCCAGGGCTGACCGGGCCAGTCGGCCGAATAATGGATGCGGAGCGGACAAGGGACGACCGGGTGGCGAGATGTTGCCAGCCGGCCAACCAGCCAGTCAGCCAGCCGCTGGACTGACGCGCCGGGTTGCGCATAACAGAATATTGGCACTCGCGGAACCGAATAACCGATAATAATAAGTGCCTGCCACTCACACGACCGCCCGCCCGATCGCCCGTCATCCATCTCGCGCCCGTGAAAGGCCCGTTTCCTCCCTTTCTCCCACTCTCCCCCCAACCCCCACCCCCGCGTGAGATTCGCGAACGATTACCCGATATGGATTTCCGCAGATTTCCGAAACTTCCCCCCCTCCGACAAATACATATATCTCTGTGAAAGGGACGGTCCTCCAGAATGATGTTTAACGGCAATAACTACATTTTTCTTTTTTTAACAAAGAGATGAATTTCAAATTAGTTTTGCGAAGGATGCAACACACACACACACACACACACACACACACACATCGTCTCTGAAGAATTCAATTCATGGTTAAATATGCGTTATTATTATATGACTTAATAGTTAATTTAATCGATAAGAAGTATACCTCTTTCCTCCCGACGTTCACAAATTGTTTCGTAATCCGTGCGTCCGAAACATACCGTTTCTTCGAGGTACCTTTATTTTTCGTCGGATCCGCGAAAATCGGGTCAACGCAATGCTCATGCAACCGTTCGCGAGTGACAAACGCGTGAAAACGACAACGGGGCGCAACGAGCGGAACTGGAATACGGTCGACACAGGTGAAAAGAAGAAAAATAAGGGAGAGAGGAAGAGGTGATCGCGACGGCGTAAAAATGATCGGTGAACGGAAGGCGAACAGATAGATAGATGGATAAATAAGGGTAGAAATAGATACAGATAGAAGGGAAGAGAGAGAGAAAGAGAGAGAAAGAGAGAGAGAGAGGAGAGAGATCCTCTTTCCACGAATAAACGGCATCTGCGCGCACGCGTGCGCTCGGCTTTTTTGCAATTTAAAGCGCGCGTCGGTTTTCTCTTCGACTGGATCCACTTCCGCCGCCGCGCCGGGATGACGGATACGTAAGTACGCAAGCGACATCGCTGCAACGTACGTGGATAAATGTATAAGTGGAAAAAGTCTTGCAGCACCAGGCGACGAATCAACGTCATTGACACGCTCGCATCATCATTGTTCCATCGTCCTAATCTCTCTTTTCTATTAGACGCAGGTAAAATCATTGGTGCTATTTGTAGAAGAATCGACTAAACTCGAGTAAGAACATCTATGCGGGGAAATCTTACGTTCGAAATCGAGTCAGATTTTACTTTTAATATAAAAAGATATATATTATTGCAATAAATGTTATAAGATATAGATATGGCGCTAAAGTGATTTTATCAGTCAGATGAACGAATTGTGTAAATGAGAGTCGGAAGAGAATTTGAGAAATTCGTGTTAACGAAATCTCATGGCCGGTTTCCGGCGAAAGATTGGAATATCCGCGCGCGAGAGGATTTATTGGAATTCGAGAGATTCGGGGAGGGTGTCAGAATCGTTGGAATAATTGACGCCAGCCGTCGCACCACCACCTGCAAAAGTATCAAAATGCAGAAAGGGTTCGACATCACGTAATGCGAGCCTTACGACTGCCATAAATCTCCCGGCACGAAAATTGGCGCCGATAACGGCGCGCAAAGCTCTGGCCCGCTCGTAAAAACCATGAATCAAATATCTATTTCGCGTAAAGCAAACACTTTGCCATCGAAAATTAGGCGCCGTCGTCGTTGTAATCACAGGGGGGTGTAGTTTCGGGAGAATTTAAACCGGCGGCCTTTCGACAGAGATATCGCGATTGCTCCGAGTACTGATCGACCGTTAAAATTCCTGAATTTTCTTTCGACGATTAATTAAAAAATGAGCTAGGAATTAATATGATATTAATAGCGTGGTTAATTGTTGTTTATTCATTCTGCCAACCTATGGGGTCGTGAAAAAATTTGAATCGCTCACATTATTCGAAAAGTTTTCATTTCTGCTGTTTTCTCAGAAGGTGATTTTGCAAAAATGTTGATTTTTTTTCGATTTCCATTATTATACATACAGATACATATATATATTTATCTAAAAAAATTATATTTATATATTAATAATGTTCATATATACAATATTAGATTATGTATAAAAATAATATATTAAATAGGTATATCCTTGTATACTTTTTATAAACTAAGATTTTTTCAATTAATCTTTTCTACTATTTATACTTTTCTACTTCTCTTTCTCTGTTATTTTTTTTAATGAATACAAACATCTTTGATTAATTCTCAAAGAGAATTCACGATAGTAACGTTCGAATTGGCGCGAAGCCGCCATCGCAGATGGAGTTTTCGGAAAACTGCATACCTTCGACCACCACATAAGCCGTAAGCGAATACCGCGGCTTATCGCGCGTTTCATCGACATGGACATATTTGAATATACCGCGAGCGCGAGCGCAAAAACGATCGTAAGTTTTCGCGATAGCCCACAATTACCTACCCATAATTCACGGGCCGACATCCTTCGTGCTCTTTGCGTGTGCCTTATTCGGATCTGTTCGGCGTTATGCCTTTGTAATAAATCTACAAATTCGGTTTTGCAGCTGTAATCAACGTGCAATTATGTGCTCAACAAATTTGTATATTTCTTAACTAAATATTTGAAACTAAAATTATTTCCAATTTTTCATACGTCGCGCAATTCAATAATAATGTATCTCTTCGCTGCATCGAAAGAAGAAGTAAAAGAATAAATAAATAAATTAAGTAAAAGAATATTTTGGAAGTATATAAATATACAGGGTGATGCGCGTGGTTCTGTCTTTCCGCGTAGGAGCAATAAATTCGTAGTCGGCAGGTCCTGGCTTCGATCCCAATCCCTCACCCCATACATTATTTATTAGAAATTTATTAAAGAGTTAAAAAAGTTTGCATGAAAAAATATGAAGTAATCGTAATCCGTTTCAGAAAATATATACACATATAACAATATGATCATTTATTACAAATTAAAGCTAATTGTAATGTAGTGATTTTTTGATTGTAATCCTATGTATATTGTTTATAACAGCACACCTCAAAGAACTGTTTTCCACAAAATAAATTTTAATATTTGAAATTATTAAAATTTTGTAATATTTATTTTAGAATGCAATTGTGGTGTAATAACTGATTATAAGGGAAAAGTATGTCCTTTTAAAGTGCTTTTTTTTCTTTATGTTTTTTTTTCTGCAATCAGTTAAAAAAAATCATTTTAATTGTGTCGTTGAGCGCTGGCAATATGACTTATATACATATATTATATTATATATACAATATTATATATATGTATACTACATATTGCTCATTCAACAACGACATAATTAAAATTGTCATTTTTTACACAACTAAATTGAGAGCACTTTGTACGGTCACGGCTGAATCTTGATTCCTAATAAATTCTATATGAATTTTTAAATTTATATTATTCAGCCATTTAAACTGCGCGCCGAACTTATGTCGATTTGCAACGCAATCATTAGCTAAAGTTGGAACAAAGATCAAAATTATTGATCTTCAATTCTTAATAATCCAATGCTTAATAAGCATCTTAAAATACTGCGATGAACTTATCGCGGAAAATATTTTACCTCGGCCACGGTTTGAACTTTCCGACTTTTCGAGGCGGGCGTCTTAGACCACTTCGACCACCGAGGCACGTGATAATATTCATCGCAATAGCCGGTATATTGAGTGAGAACGTATGCTAGAGGCACGTATAATAAACAATATTGATTTAAACTAGACCGCGCAAGTGAATAGCACAAATAAATTAGAGAGCGCCGTCTACGTTCACGGCTGAATCTTGGTACCTAATAAATTCTATATGAATTTTTAAATCCATATTCCAGCCTTTTAAACTGCGCGTCGAATCAATATCGGACTTGCAACGCAATCATTAGCTGAAGTTGGAATAACGAGATCATAATTGATCTTTAATTTTTAATTCAGTGCTGTCATTTTTTAGTTAATTCCAAAAAAATTAACAAAGAGAAAAAAAAGCATACTTTAAAAAAACTTTTTCTCTACAATCAGTTATTACATCACAATTATATATTATGTATATGTTCAATGTAAATTATATGTTCAATAAATAATATGTTCAATATTTACTTTGTTCACTTTAGAACGCGATAATTTTCGTTAGCGAGAACGTGAATAGGAATTATGTAAATGGAAACAAAAGTACGTTGACACAAGATCTGATAGCGTTTCTACGACCAACCGATCATCCTTCTTTCATTGCAGTGCAAAAACTGAGGGGTCTGGGGCGCACGAAGGCGAGAAGAAATGAGGTGGACGTGACACAATGACATGATGAAGAGCCTGGTGGGGATCATGTGGATAGTGTTGGTGCTCATATCAGGTACGTATGATCAATCTAGAAATCGCATGCCCGAGACCCATACTAATTCGCCGATACTGATCGACGGAAAATTTCATCTTGTCGCTCTTAATATTCCAATTCATCTTTCATTTCCACGAAACACGTAGCATGATTGTTATTCATTTTCTCCTTAAAGTATGAATTAGTTAGCACATGAACAATTTTTAAACTCGATCATTTTTTATAATGAATAATCGGATAAATGTTTCGACAAATTGAGTTACATAATTCATAAATAGCGAATTTGAATTCTAAATTATGTTAGATTCAATTAAAAAAAAAAAAAGAATTTATAACGTTTCTTTCTAGTTTTTTTTAAATTAGTTGAAAAATATTTTTGTCGAAATATAGAAAATTTTTTTATTACTGTACTTATTTAACTTTCCATTTAACTATTCACATTTGACGTTTTCTAAGTATAAAATCATATCTAGTTTAATTATCTTTAAAGGTTTTTGCTGGATGGAAAAACGGGAACAAAATGTAAAAATTCTAAATAGCGGGTCTCATAGAACGAATGCATAGAATAAAATATTTACAAATTCTAATGAAATTGTGCATTACGATTATTGTACGAGATTTTTTTAGTTGCTGAATAAGAAAATGATGTCAAAATATAAAAAATTAAAAATAGTGAGTTTAAAAAATAAAATGGCTTTAAATTTTAATAAAAATTTATGTTGAGACGTTTTCATAATCATAAAATCCGAAAATTTGAATCGTTTATAGACTCAATTTACCAAGAGAAAATAAAAAATATAACAAAACGTAGGATATTGACAGAAACATAGTAACGCTAAAAAATTTTTGGTTTAATCTATATCACACATATCCACACATCTTTATCACTGAAATGTAAAAAAAAATCGAAAAAAGTTTTATTTCTACTCTATACAAGTAATATAAATATGATAAAAAATGTATATTATCTGCAGAAGCGGTGAAATTTGAGTAATCGTCATACAAAGATATCAAATATATCATGATTAATCTGAAAATTTCCGAATCTAATTACCCAAATATAAGTATAATTTTTTAGTATTTTATAATAAATATTTATTACAGTATTCTTTTTAAATTTAGAGTTTTAAAATGAGCTTTACTTGATTTTAATGACTCAATACTTAATTAAAGATATGTTTTTTTTAACGATATTCTATATAATCCCATTGGACGTAAAACAGTTAAATAGATAACGGAAAATGAATATAGCTCAATTTAGCCAAGTCGCGCGCACGCACGTTTTTTACTTCCTTTTTTAATAAATAAAAAATTTCTAATAAATAAGTAAAAATGTCTTTTGTCAATATTTCTCCCCGTCGTACGGGGGAAAAACACGCACGAAAATGCAATATGCATGTAGACGAATATTACTCTTGCGTGCGAATAACAACTGTAAATGTGCACGTGGACGCGAAATCTACTTGCGGCTCGTAAAGCGTTTTCCATGTCCCGCGAGTGTGTTTGCGGGCCCGACAGTCGCTATAATCCACTACGGACGCTCACGGTCGTTACAGACGTTGTCGTGTCTGTGGTCTATATGAGATGCGTACATTATCGCGGTTCGTGAGTATGAATACACATAACTGGTTGTCCGCGTTTACGATTGCATTTCTCCACGTTGTTCTTGCGCACCTGTGCACATGCAGGAGTGCACTCGCGAGAGACGACCGTAACATCGTCGTACGTTTCGTCTGTCCCCCTCTCTTTTGTTTTTTTCATTGGGAAAAACGTTTGCTATTTCAGTTGAACGGAACAAACGATGCGATTACAAAACCAAACTTTCAAGTGCAATTCTCCGTTATTCGGAGGATTATCGTTTTGCGTTATAATATGCGCGTGATTGTCACATTAGTCGTGTTGTTTTTTGTTTTATTTAAATAAATAATATTTGCATTGATTGAAATTTTAATTAAATAAATTGTTTTTGCTCAATTATTGATATGTCTTTGAATATATCTCTGTTTAATTATAAAATACTAAAATCGCGTAAAACGCGCGACATATATGTCATTAAAATTTAGATATCAAATTACAGAAATGTATGAAATCAATAAATTGTAAATATATAAATGTATATAAATCGGAAACAGTTTTTCGTTTTATGTATAAATTAGCAGATGTTTCTCGCAAAATTTTAATACCGTCGAAGTTAAATCATCACTATAAAAGGATGACGCGCTGTAAAAGTTTATTGACAAGTCTTTTCCAGTTATATGTTATAACATTTTTAACATTGCACATACATAAATTTTAGCGCATCGTTGACTAATACTTGAAGATTACTCCCGAGATATTTCAGGCGGTAAATTAGAATAAACACGGAATACAAGGAGAATCGGATCCCGGAGACATCTGCACTATTGTTGCGTGCAACTTTGGTCCTACGTCTCGCGACCATGATCTTTCCGGCTAGTCTGGGAATCCAATTTCCCGGGACTGTCTCCCGATATACGAGCCGGAAGGACCCTTCTCTCCTCCCCTTCTCGCCCCCCCCCCCTGGCTCAGTTTCAAAATTAAAATCACTGGCGACGTTGCACCACGCACGCGTTAGTCGTCGGGACGGGTGGGAAACTCGTAAAACGGCAATAAAATGACGTGCGAGCGTAATAAATAATATAACGGCGAGCCGAATCCGTCGGCGACTCTATCTCGTATAATGACGAGATATCGACACATATTCGCGCCTCGTCGAGCAAGCGGAAGTTTTTTGTCGTCCCTATATATAATCGGCGCCGATCCGTCGTTGAAAAATGAAATTTCCTTGTCAGTCCGCGCAAATGGACAAATTTTACAGTCCGCAGTATATTCTGTACCGGGATAAGTCGGTGATTTAATGGGTACTTAACGCAAAACAAAAATTCACGAGAATGGCGAGAATTATTTATGTATAACTCTTTCGTCTCGTTAATCTTGGCAACGCAGTTATCCGACACGATCCTTAAATGCGGACTGAAGATTGGAATATATCGTATTATGAAACGTTCAGTTATGTGTCTAGTATCTCTTTATATCCTGAAGCGAAATAAACGGAGATCCGTTTCGAAATATCACAAACTTTCGAGACGCGAAATAATAGAAACGGATTATACGGAAATATTCTTCCGACAAACGCAAACACACATTTTACACACATATCTACATAGAATTCGCGTTATTGCGACGCTTAGCGGAAGGTACTTCTCAGACCGCGCTTTGTGGCTCCAATATTAATGGCGATTCGCAATGTTGCACGCGCAGATCCGGAGGCTCAACGTTTTACTTTGAAATTGCAAATAAGTGGAGAACGGTTCGGACGGCGCGGCGGCAGGCGGGTATATCTGGGCTCGTGTCTTCCGGCCTATGTGTTGGTCTTTATAATGACGGCAACACTTTATACGCTGCCGTACGGCAAAGGGTTAAATATGCGCAAAGCGAAATATACACGGCACGCTCATACGAGCACGGATAATGGGAAAACTACGAAGCGGAATTACCGAGCTGTCCTGTTACGTGGGTAAACTATCCACGTCTGTCTCCGTTCCTTTGATATCTGCCCTCCGGGCGAAATATTTCCCGCTTTTCCTCTCCCCGCGTCCTTCGGGACTCCCTTGTTTTCGCTTCGTCTATCGGCGACCGTCATCGATATTAATCCTAAATCTCGCGGAAGTGACGAAAAAGAAGTCACACCGAAATAGAAAAATACAATAAAATTGTAATAGATTGTAAATAAAAGATTCTTTTAAATTAATTAATAAAATATGACTAAATCTCTCTCATCTTCGAACTTACATCGTAATAATTTATACAATGGTATATCATTTTGTATGATATAGCGTACATAAGTTTGATATTCGATTCAGTTTGCTTGCCCGCTGTTAATCTAACTTTAAGCCTCCGCTTTGTAAGCAGACAATCGGCATTGTAACGTGTGTTATAAATTCAGTTGCGATAAGTTCCCCCTTTCAGGCGAGACGATTTTCGGACACGCTTCTCCTGTGTATTTCCAGGATGCTCAGGAAATCCAGACGCGAAGCGATTGTACGACGACCTCTTGTCGAATTACAACAAGCTGGTTCGTCCAGTGGTCAACGTCACAGACGCCCTCACCGTTAAAATAAAGCTCAAGCTCTCGCAGCTCATCGATGTGGTAAGCAATAATATCCTCGTAATCCGTATGAGAAGGAGCGAGCGGAGAATTGCGGATTTAAATATTAATATTATAGATATTAATTCTTGTGTAGTAATTTTTTAATATCGAATTTCGAAGCACCGTCGTTAGCCGAAGACGAATTTTAGTCGCGCGCCTTACATTTCGTGATTACCTAATGATAAAAACTGTTAAAGCAGATGTCGTTGACGCGTACGTATGTAATAATTCGCGCGGTCCGCGCTTTTTACTCATCTCGGGAGAGCATGAGATATTTCGGCTCGTAGCTGAATGTTGCTAATTTGTTTTCCGAGCAGGGGAGAGCGATGTGTATTCTCACAAAATTATATTCTCTTGCAGAATTTGAAGAATCAGATCATGACGACGAACCTCTGGGTCGAGCAGGTAATATATATATTCCCAAAAGATCACGTAACGTATAGGAATTAAAGAAGAGGGGAAATTTTGGGGGATTGCGAGATATTTATTAAACACATGATGTAAAGTTTCAATTGAACGATGTTGGAGTAACATTTGTAACAGGTCGTAGCGATTTTTCAATTACGTACAAGTCCGCCTCGAGGTCCGCTCTGTAACTTCCATTATTGTTGATCCATTGTTGATCGTCCGCGTGGAAGGAAAATGTTCGGCGGCCTGTCGATGACACACGTTTTAGCACGTTTTAACACGTGTTCATATACGTGTGTGCGGATGCGCGCGCCCGCGCGCGGAGATTTTCGTACGCATGCAGAAACGCGAAGAGATCGGACAGAAGCTTCCGCCCGGAGAAGCCAGAAAATAACTCCGGTGAACCGTGCAACCCACTTTCAAATGCTGGATTACATAAGATAGATAGATTCGCCCCATGTGCGCGCGACCGTTTTTCCGTTCTGGGATATATAGCGAGCACGAAATAGATTCGTGTAATAAATACGCGACTCGCGACGGAAAATCGGGTCATTAAAGAGCAGATACCTCATGACACGATTACGCGGGTGTCGCTTGATAAATTCTTCTAACTCGGCCGTTGTTGCGAGATCAATGCGGGGATAAGTGAAAATTTATTTATTGCATTTTATAATAATCGTCAGACATATATATTGAGTCCTTGCGATTGCAGACTGCAGTATTTTCAGAGAAACTACATAAGATCGAGATCGTACTTTTTCCTCGGCACTTATTTTAACTTCGTTTGCATAACTTTTCTGTGCGCGCGCTCCAGATTTTATTATCGCATTTCTCTTCGTCAGATATTTGTACATATCGAAAGTTTTAATTATTGTTACTCCGCTGTTGCGAACAATCAAAAAATAAAATGGAACGGTTGACGAGAATCGGTAATAGAAATCAAATCAGGAATAAATGGAAATTCATATCAAAGCTTGAAATTGATACATCCCAATTTCATTACGAATTTTGATTTACCTTGACTTTGTTTCAAGTCCACGCGAACACATGTTAAAGCTTACGCGCTTCATTTCATTGAGCCTTATTATTCAAATATTATTAAGCTAACAGTAGTAAGTATAAATTAAATCAGAAAGGAAAAGAGTAATTACGCAGTTATTCCGTTCCGTTGATCAAATTAAATTCCGTTTGTACAAAATAAATTTTACGAATTAGCGATTCCACGTATCTTCATATTTGACAATTCCTATCGGCTCATTATACGTGTATCGTTCGTGTGGAAATCCCCGGCGGCGTGAAGGGACACCAAATGTTAACGTTGCGCGGTAAACCAGGCACATCGTTGTTGATGCTCACGCATACAGTTCGGAGGGTTACTCGAATGAGCGAGGCCACGCCAGCCGAAAGTTCGGAATATCCACCGCATCAATGTTATCGCAAAGTTCGCGCACGAAAATGTTAATTTCACCGCGATTTATCGACGGGATTAATCGGTTCGTGCTAACGCAAGTTGACCGAAAACATCCGCATTGCGAGTAAATTGTCCGGTTTTTTTTTTCAAAGCTTTTTAAACGCAGCGTTATAATAATTGTAATTTCTTTAATATGTTATTGACTCGATAATGTAATCTGCACCGATCGGTGGCGTATTAAATTTAATAAAACGTGTCGTGCCATTTGTCGCAGTTCACGTTACACTTGAATTGCATTAAAATCGAAATTGCAGCTACGACATTTAATTAATACGGAAAAAAGCATTACGCGTTAAAGTGTCCGATGGAGAATCGATAGAAAATATACATTGCGAGTAAACATTTGATCTCCATTCTGTGGTTAAATTTAATTCCCCTGCTTCACAGCGTGTCGGAGTTGCAAATGGATTACGAGGATTACGCTATTTCACGATGAATATTTAATAAATTACCTTGCAGAGTGTGCACCGCTCGCTATTTAACTAAGCGTTACCTTTGGTTCGGTTAAACACGACCGAATTTCGCGTAATATAGTCATGTCCAGTTATAGGATGCCAACATAATATTCTATCTAGCAAATATAGCGATGCGTAAACGAAGAGAGAGAGAGAGAGAGAGAGAGAGAGAAAGAGAGAGAGAGACTTTGGCTTCGAGCTAATATTCAACATGCCCCATGCATAAAGGCTGTGTTTACGCCCGAAGGAAGAGCATTTCCGGTGACCAGCAGTGTCGGTGACGTCGGCGCTCCGTCGTACACAGACGTTCCGTTGACACGAATTGAAAATTGACAGTAATTAAAGTGATTTGTATTTACTTAAGCTAATTGGGTTTTTACAGTCGCGATTAGTTTACTCGAAATTTTACTAACAAGTGACCGTAAAGTGGACGAAATTCATTAGTTTCTTAAATTCAGAAAGTTTCTTCAAAAAAGATGCCAATAGTTCTTATCATCGAATTATCGATTGAAATGGAATCTTTGGTTTGTGTTATTATTTGTAAAAAAAATTAAGAGCACTATTATATTCCTTATTTCATTTAGAATGTATTTTTCTAACGAGATTTATTTTAACTTAAAGCACAATTGCAGAGATGTAAGATATAATAATCTTTTGAAAATTCCGAAAAATAATGATTCTCTCGACATTTTTATCGAGAGAGAATTGATTTCGAATTCATGTTCAAAAATTTATCATGAAAATTTGGTCCATTTAACTTAAGCTACTCTTTATAAAAGTTAGATATCGTCGACCAAGATATTTGACAAACCTCTTCGATACGCAATGCGTCGTACAGTGTTAAGCTTACGCATTTTTTTAATCATATTACAAAAAATTCAGAGAAGAGAAAATGAGCTTTGTATTATCCACAAAATCTCGAATAGATCAATGGCATAGAAATTTAATAAAACGCGCAATTTTAATCGAACAGGATTAATGAACAAGAGAAAGAAGAAGTTCGTATGCAAATCTGCGCGTTTCAGCCTTACAACTCGCAATGAGGAAAGTTACAAAATATTGCCTCTGTGCACGGTTTGGTGCCCGTAAAGTAGCTCCAGCGTGATTTCCCGATCCTTTGTCGCTTTTCATTTTAAATACATGAATTAGGATGCGATGGATAAATTCATTGAATGCGCGAGCTTTGAAAAAAGAAGCACCTGTACCGCATTAACGCGCGATGGAAAAACATAAAACGCACGAATAGTTTTATGGCATTATATATATGGTATATATTTCGTTCAATGCAATAATATATCAATTTTTTTATTTCAAACGACGATTGATCACGATGATCTATACATTCTATAGTTTTTATACAATCTTTGATATTTATGACATTTTTCTGGCAAAAATATGAGTTTGTTCTCGATGGAAACGCGAAAAGAGCTTATAATAAAAAGAACTTTTAATATAAAAGAAAAGTTTCGTTCATAAAAACCACAACACTCATTACTCAATGCAAAGTTAAAAAGCGTGATATAGTGTCAAGTTGTACTTGTCAATTTAAGAGATTAGGCCACTGTAATGAGTTCAAAAAATAGGTCAACTTTAGAATTTTTTTAGGAATTAGAAAATATAAGCATTGGCGTATTTTATTATTAAAGAACAAATACATTATACATATATTATTCTTTATCTGAATCTTAATTATCTCAATAAAATATTTTATAGAAAAAATTGAAAAGTATTCAAGATGATTGACTTATGAAAATAGCATTTGTAGAAAATGAAAAAGTGGTGGCTTTAATTCCTTAATCTGGAATTTAAAAAACAAATTTTTTTATTATTATTATTCTTTGTACACAATTAGCTATTATTAAAGAAAAATTTGAATTTTGTTGCAATAACAAAATGACATATTTTTAAACTTTTTATTTAAAAAAAACGATACGATAAATAAATAAAAAATATCAAAAAATATATCTATTGAATAAAATATGCCTATTTGAAAGAAGCCGTTGGAAACATGTTTTAATTATCAAGGCTATTATTTTGAAAATAACAATTTTGAGGAAAGCATTACTTATTAATTTAACTGATTTTCTAATTTACACCGTCTAATGTAACAATTAATAACAGAGGAACGTCTATGTATATAAATAATTTCATTTTAAGATAGAAATGTGGAATCTATTGTATCTGTGTTCAATTAAAAGCAGAAAAATCAATACTGCGTCGGAAAAGATGACCAGCGTGATTTTCCGGTCAACGAATAAATAACAGCTGAAGAAGGAATATGTCATGACTCCGCGTATGAGCGTATTGGTTCACGGATATAGTTATAATTATCGGTTGTTCTTTTCCGAAGTTTCCGAGACACGAACGTTAAAGCAACGGACATTATGATGGACGTTATTTTTGACGGACGTCGTTACCCTAGTTATACGATACGTTGATCTATTGAAAATTCGCGCAGTACACAAGGCGGATGACGTAGAAATGCGGTTTTCATGTGCACCATATTGACCATATTGAAAGTGCAAGAAAAAAGAAACATGACTCAAAGAAATGGCGGATATATCCCACAAATAATGTGAAATTGTTGCACACTGCAATTTACTGCATCGCTAAGAAAGGACGTTTTTTAATTTCTATTATTAATAATTCTCTCGATAATTAATAATTCAAAAACTTTGTAAGATTTTTGAAGAGAGAAAAGAAATTATCGCATGAACGGTAATAGTGTTCTGGATTATATTTATAAACATATATTGACATATATCCATAATGATTAATATAATAATTAGTATAATTGTTACTAAAACGTGTTCTAGTATATATTAGAATAATAAATTTGGCAGAAAGATTTGAATTTAAAAGCGTCTATAATTATTTATCTTAGTCATTTATCTCAAATATTTATTTTAACTAAAAAAAATGTGAAAATGAACGTATCACGAATAGTCGACATCGTAAACATTTTGAGGACTCGTCTTCGAGGGAATTGTAACAGGGAATTGTGACAACGACGGAGCACTGCACTTGAAGAACACGCTCGCAAATTCTGGCAGTGGCGGTTGAGACGGATGTACTGTGTGATCCTATTAAGAACGCGAATAAAAGACTACGATGCTTTTCGAACTTCTGCAGTGACCTAATCCCTTGAGAGAATCACGTAAAAGTAACGTGATAAAGATAAAAGTGACAAAATGACAGAAAAGACGGTGATGTGCGATTATGTTACGTTGACGTTCTTTGTTCGCAGTCATGGTATGATTACAAGCTGAAATGGGATCCGAAGGAGTACGGTGGAGTGGAGATGCTGCATGTGCCGTCAGATCACATATGGAGGCCCGATATAGTTTTATACAACAAGTAAGACGATCGATAATCGACTAGATTCGCGCCATCTTCCCTTTCTTTAATATGTGTTATTTAACGTAAAATATTATTAATTTAAATTACTAATAAAAAAAATGAAATAATGCCGAATGTGTAATGTAAGAACGTGTAATTATTTTTATTATTGCCTTGAAATTAAAATTTTTTATGTTTTTGAAAAAAAAAATCATTGATATATTCTCGTACTATTATTTAATAGAACCATTATTTAATATACCTAATTTTTTTTGTATTATTATCAAGCAGAATTTGTCCACATTTTTCATTAAATTTTTAACTCGTTTTGGAAGAAGCAACATTAAAAATTAAAATTGTGAAGCATGGTCGAGCATACTTTTACATTTCAAAAATAAACGAGTTATCTCCTGAAGAATAGAACACAGGCTTTCGTGTGACAGCGGCCGCGTTCCATATTTACGTTTTTTGCGCGTACAACGTTCACAGAATCTTTTTATTTTTGTTGTTTATCAAATGTTAAACAAGAACAGAGCGCGTGAGCGTTAAAATGGAACGCAGTCAGGTTGCCCGTGAAGATTGAGACTAAATTGATACAGTGTGTAAATAGAAGTGAAATTGAAACCATTTCATGGTTTCAATTTTCTGAAACCATGTTTGGAAATGCGTTTAATCAATTAAAGACTTATCAATGATTTAATAGTAAAACTGTTCTTGGTACAACTGCTAAACGAATCGACTGCCTTAGAAAAATAACTTGTCAGTTGTTATTTGTAACTGATAGTTATTTTGATCTCTACCGTTTTTATTTATTTACAGCTAAAATACTGTATGTAATACTGAATAAATAAAAGCCGGATCAGAGATCGGAAGTTATAAAACTCAGAAGAACAGGTTTGTTATTGAATTATATTGTATATATTGATCTCTTAAATTTCTTCAAGAAAGCATTTTTGATCATGGACGTTCGTGTCAACCCTTCTGATTTACTCGGCTCTACTTACCTCTTTAAATCAATTTAGTTTCAATTTTTTGATCATATTGTACAGCAAACCTACGAGAGAGATATCACGTCACGGGATTATTCTTTGTAAGAATAATAGGCTTTTCGAATAGATTGGAAACAATTATATTCTTTCAAAATGAAATTATCTTCTTCTCGTGGTGATATTGAAGAATTTGATGTCCGATAGCGCCGATGGTAACTTCGAGGTGACGCTGGCGACGAAGGCGACCCTCAACTTCACGGGCAGGGTCGAATGGAAGCCGCCGGCGATTTATAAGTCTTCCTGCGAGATCGACGTCGAATATTTTCCCTTCGACGAGCAGACGTGCGTGATGAAATTCGGCTCGTGGACTTATGACGGCTTCCAGGTGAGAACCGCCGTGGTATTATCTCGTGGAAAGTTTCCCTGTTTCGGAAATTAGCTTCCGTTATCCAAATATCGGCGTGGTCGATCGATTTAACCGTCGCAGAAGGGCCATTTGTCTCTATTCGCGAGTTAAAAAAAGAATTGACAATTCTTTACATAGAAAGATATTGGCGCCGTACGTGGAAGTGTACAGTCGCCAGGGATATTTATATACGTATTTCATTTCCGATCATCTTTCTTTCTTCGCGAGTCAAAAGTCTAAGGATAAATAATTGGATAATTATTCCATAAATAATGGATCTTTTTCTTGTTTTCGAGACATTTTTTCCTTACATGATATGTGCTCCTCCTAGATGAACTATTCAATTAATCTCGAGGATTTGAAGAATTCAATTTGTTGGCGCAACAGGAAGCTCTCGCAAGGATCTTGTTAGGGCAATCATAAATATTCCGAGAGCGACTTTCGTGGCACGTTACGACGAGGGTATTGTCGCGCCGGCCGTTAGGCGCGATGAAAGACCGTATATATCGCTCGTTATCTTTTTCTTTTTTTATTGAGTAAAATGTCGCTTGTTAGAAGCGCAATCGAGTATAAATGGAAGACAGGACGTTGAGGTGAAAGAGATGAGACGAGGTGAAACGAATCGTCTGACCTAAATATTGATATTTAATGTTATTTAAAGAGTGGTCTCGTTCTATGCGCCAACACAAAATCTACTTATGCTAAGACTTTGCACACTGTAATTATTTGCTCCGATTTATAACTTCATTGATAATACATATGCGTTTTCACATGGATGATAAAGAGAGAGAGAGAGAGAGAGAGAGAGAGAGAGAGAGAGAGAGAGAGAGAGAGCATAAGTATCGAATGATTGGACATTAAGCAGCGCGATATCACAACAATGCATTGTAAAATTTAGGAATTTACTGTTAAGGTCGATCTTCGACACATCGACGAGGTACGAGGCAGCAATGTCGTCGACATCGGCGTCGATCTGTCGGAGTTTTATACTTCCGTCGAGTGGGATATACTAGAAGTCCCTGCTGTAAGGTACGCTTTAATGATTTTCTCAATCCTCTCTTGGATCATTAATTTAATTTATTTCCTTCAGAAATTTCCTTAATTTGATTAAATTAGATTAATTTACGTTTGTTTTTCTATACGCGAATACGGTGATTGCGTAACAAATTAGGACCTCAAGCAAAACAACAAGTCATCATGATATCAAAATGATTACTATAATAAAAGTTACTTTTCGATCAGTTACAATTTATATTAATGTCATTTTAACGATATCATGACTTGTTCTTCTGCTCGGAATTATACTGATAATGACATATAGACTGACTTTTCCCGCTACTTCAAGCGATACTATTTAATTAGGCATTAGTAATAAATTTTATTAATAATCAACAGTAATATTAATAATTTTGATTTTAATTCTGAATCAAAGAAAGTATACATAAGACTTTTTTTATTGATGCTTTTAACATCAATACTGTTATAATCGATCGTTAAGCAAAGTATGCGAATGTGCAAATTGCAGAAACGAAAAGTTTTACACGTGTTGTGACGAGCCTTACCTCGACATCACTTTCAACATCACCATGAGACGGAAGACTCTATTCTACACCGTTAACCTCATAATACCCTGCATGGGGATATCATTCCTCACGGTGTTGGTGTTTTACTTGCCAAGCGACAGTGGAGAGAAGGTAATTAACTCATATGATTACTCGTCCTCATTTATCCGTAATTTTATTTTATATATTTGTATGTGTGTTTCAGTAACATAATATTTTATTTTGCTCGATCTATTTTCTTATTGAGAAAAACATCTTATTCAGATTATTAAAATCTTATAGAAATCATAGATATTTTCAAAAGCAAAATCAACGAATAATTTTGAAAACGCAAGTTTTTTATATTTTGATTAAGTTAGAGTAGAAAGAAACAGAGAGAGAATAGAATTTAATTTAAAATTGTATAGTGTTCCGTTTTTAAATATTTCGTTTTAGGGAAATAATTAGAAATTAATCTCTGTATAATATATTCAAGAATTTTATGGGATTAGAATGAAACTTATAGTATAATCAGCTATAAAAATTTAAAGCTTTTTTTTTTTATTAGAAATTGGATTTTTCCGTTAATATATTATATTATGTAACAAAATTTTCGAAATATTGGAATAAAACAGTTATAATTTATGATTATATGAAATGAAAATAAAACTTGGCCTGACCTGCGTTCGATTTTTTTGTAAATATTACAGATTTATGTGTTTTTAAAGAAGTTTAGATTTTTTTATTTAAAGATATGTTTTATTTTGTGGTTTATTCTTTATGGAAAAAATTAATTTTCAAAAATTTTATTCAGTTATATGAAACTAGAATGATACACTCGCGATATAAAATTCGCGATATATAAAATCCCCGTTTAGATTAGATCAGAATAAAACTTGTGCCATATACTCTCCGTTTCTCTCTTTAGTCGGTCCTTCATGACTGAATATCGTGGCCTCCATTTTTATGGAGCTACTCGAGAGCGTACGATTGTCTCGACCGATTTTTATCGGTGGCTATCCTCACCGCAGCGTAAAATTCGGACGTTTTGTTTTCTCTCAATTGATCTGTCCATCTGATTGGAGATCGGCCTCGTTCTTTTGCCTTGCGCCACACACTAATTTGATATGCTCTCGATTTCTCTGCTCGATGTATTACCTGTTTCGAAAACCCCCAGATATGTTTGTTAGGGACGTAAAACCAAGATCAAACCGTAAAATGCAAGAATTTTATTCGATTAAATCGAAATAGCCCGCGATCGAACTTTATCAGAATAGAACGGTATAGTTCGCGCGCGATTACAATTTTATTCACAATCGACCTTATTGTCCCGATATCACGTTTCTCTTTATACACCATCGCGGGGAACTTTGCTCCAGCGTCGCGGCGTCGGAAATTAATTTTGCAGATTTGGCTCGATTAGATCGGAATATGGAATATGGCACACAGCGCGCCATTACGGTTTAATCCACGACCGACCTTTTCGCGTCGGCGTTACGTCTTTAAGCGCCGCGTCGTAAAGCACACTCGACCTCGAGCACCAATATCCACTTACCGGCTTACATAATTCAGACGTATTCTTCCGCTTTGTCACCGTGAAAGGTGTACCGCGTTGTATCGCGGAAGATGGGCAAGCGAGGAAGGAAAAAAAAAAGGGAGGGTAGGTCAAATGTCAGGCTGCCGGTCGTTTAGCAATCGGCGGGGATACGCAACGAGGATATGAGAAAAGAAACAGGAGTGAAGCGCGGTTGTAATGCGTCTTGCGACGCGACGTGCTCGGCACACGGAATCGATGCGACAAGACTGCGAGAAAGAAAAAACTTCTCCGATCGGCCTCAATGCACTTTTAAGGTGCAACCCGTTTGTAACCGTATATGAATTCACCGTCGAAAGCTCATTCCATAAATTATGAAAAAAAATAAAAATGTATACACTCTTGAAAATATAATGGGTGTGATTTTTGATACCAAAGGTGTGGATTTTAACATTATTGGTGTTCATATAATTCTCACCACATATTGAGATAAAATTATAGATAAAATTAAAATTGTGTTTTTGAAACGTTTATCTGTTTCTCTTTTAACGCAATATTCTCGAGTTATTAATTAAATTAACTTTTTAATTAAATTGTTAGCTTTTACTTTAACTGTAAATCTTCTTTTTCTCGTTTCAAACAAAGCAACGAAAAATTGCAACTGCATTATGATTCTTTAGTCGTTTATAAGTATTCTATTCAGAATAATATATGATAGTCCCTTAGAAGTCAAATAAATCAATTTTTTAAAATAAAATGAGAAAGTTATAAATTATACAGTTATACACTATGTGTTGATATCAAAATTATTTACAAAAAGTGGAGTTAATTAGTTTCATTTCTGAAAGATTAAGATAGAAATCTAGATTAATTTATGTGTGTATGTATGAGATTTAATTTTAACTCTCGGCAATTTCATATTTTTACTCTGTCTGTAACCTGGATCTTTTTGTTCAACCTAAGTTTTTGTATTATCCTAGGTTTCAAAAAATTTGGGAAAATTCAGAGTTACTTCTCAACATTTCTATTACATTATTAAATAGTTTTTTTTAACTCAAATGTTACAATCTTTATTCATTCTCCCTTCATTTTGGAAAAATTTGAGAGTGAAATTTTGCTTGCGCCAAAAAAGATCTATAGATTGCAGACGGAGGATTAATATTCAGGAATATGTCTAAAAGTATAACACAGATCTCAGCATCATTCTCGTAGCACATTCTTGTTTCTTATAAATAATGCATCAAGACTTCTTTTTCTCTCGTCCTGCCGTAGGTCAGCTTGTCCATCTCGATTCTATTGTCACTGACTGTGTTCTTCCTCTTGCTGGCCGAGATCATCCCGCCTACGTCGCTCGTGGTACCGCTTCTTGGTAAATTCGTCCTGTTCACTATGATCCTCGACACCTTCAGGTATGGTAAACCAAAAATAGTCACGAGACTGCAGAAGACACTTGTAATAAATGCGTAACGTTAAATCTATATTAAATTAAATGGCACATTCGCTTTAATATTAACCGAATGAAATTCGGTTCGAAATGCCAGATTTTTTTAACGCTGATGTTTTGCCAATGTTATTCCTGATTTTACTGTCGATTTTATAATCGAAAGAAAATACGCCACTTCAATTTAAAGCTAGCGTTATGCCGTGGGCTACTGAATTACTAAACTCGCGGATTGTCTTTTCGCATCTTTCGGCATCTTCCTTTCGTGCGTTGCAGCATATGCGTAACAGTGGTGGTCCTGAATGTGCACTTCCGTTCGCCGCAGACCCACGTAATGTCGCCGTGGGTCCGACGTGTGTTCATCCACGTGCTGCCGAGGCTGCTGGTAATGCGCAGGTATAATACGCCATCGCAGAGAACCGATTACGATTCCAGGCAAGATATATTCTTCTGGCATTTGTGGCCCGGTCATTGGAACCACGCCAGAGCCGGGCATTAGAGCACTCATTAGCGTTTCCCGTGCACGTGACGTTAGTGTCGCGTCATACCTGCAAGCATTTAGCACCGCACGGTGCATCACTTCTGCATCGCGCTGCATCGTGAGTGATGTGTCCGCCTATCGTTAGTCGCATCTCTTCCCGCTGCGTGTGTTGTCGTACAAATAAAATTTCCTGATTTCCCGGAGAAGAAACGTCTCGCGCTTGACACTGACGCGGTGATCGGGCGAGATCGTATCGCTTACTTGATAATCAGAAATTGTGTGTACACATCAAAACTGTGCTATATTACAGATACCGGATTTTTCTGAAAAAAATACTTTTGCGATTCATATGCCATTATCAAATTAAACGATCTAGAATTAAATTAAATTTCTTCCTCGATGTCACAAAGTGAAATTGAAGACGTCGATCTACAACTGTGTATTTTCATTCAGGAATTTTTATTTTATGATAACATTTTTTTTATAACGCGCGACGCCATTACATCTTGCATACAATATTGCACATATAATATTATTGCACAACGCGCAAATATTGAATATAATGCTTTATTGGTACCACCGTCGAACTGAACGTTATCCGCATAACCACACACCAACTTCATACAGAATTTAGAGTCGCTCCTCATTATTCGACATTACTCAAATGCATAACATTCTCGAATACGCATATGATCGCAACTCTGCCGAACTAGAAAGTTAGCAGCATGTGTAGTCACGATCTCGTTAGAGTATATATCGTACGAGTATCGTTAACCCGACTCTACAAAGCAATATATTATTCATTGCTGCACACTGAGCTTAAAGCTGTTATAATACGGGCACAGTCGGTGGATTTTATTAGCTAATTCTTGAGTTACTCCCGTAGAAGAAAGTCGGCTTTGGAACTGTGGACGCAAAAACGTGATTCGTGCGATCGTAACAACTAATGACTCTGATTAGAATTTAGAAAAGAAGGAGCAAGACATATTAGATACGATCGCGCGAATCACGTCGTGATTTGCAGACATGCCCTCGCAGTTCCGGAACCGGCTTGGGGATGAAATCGACATGTATCTTCGTGTCGGGTAAACCATATTGCGTCTTTTCTTCCACTTCAGGCCGCAGTACCAGATAGATAAGCGTAGCATGGGCGGGCATCATGGGCATCGCGTGATGGTCAGAACGTGCAACGGTCTCGAACTGCGAGACCCATCACTGTTCGTCGAGTCCTCGGCCTCGGAGCTGGTCGAGTCCTCCGTGCTCTTTCCTAGTGTCGACTCACGGGATGAGCTGCATCCTCGGTGCGTGTCGTCCAAGATCTCGAAAATAATTCCAAATAATTCATATTGTATTATTTGGTGTATTGTGTGGCGCTAAATAATATATAATTTATTTAATTATGACAATTTCGAGCATCACACATCTATATCGCATCATTTTATTTTACGTTTTGATCATCTGATTAAAGTACTTATATCTTATAAATCGGGGTGTTATGCGCAAAACTGAATATACCATAGACTTTTAAAAAAATTAATATTGTACAAGTAATTGTGTCAATAACATAAAATTCTTCATTATAAGTTTTAATTTTATAATGATTTTACTGACACTTTTGATGACGTTTTGTGAAAAATTACTAAAAACGGAAAATGTAAAAAAAGTAAATATCAAAAATATATAACATCGAAAAAATAAAAAATGAAGAAAATACATTATATTCTTATATGTGTATCTTATATATTGAATTAATTACTTTTGGTTGTTCTAAAACTTAAATTCTGTCTGGATGTTTTTGCGCAACATCGTATACTTCTTCGGTTTATCTTCCCATGTTTCTAGAATGTATATCGTAGTCATCCCGTTTTGCGACTGTATTATCTGCTTAGGGAGTTGGAAGCAGTAAATTTAGGAAGCACGTGCCGTATCCACGGTTCGCCAGCGGCAACGGCCGCGCCGCCGCCGCAGCTTCCGACGGAGGAGAGCGTCGACGCTCTCTGCAACACGCTTCACCATTGGCATCACTGCCCAGAACTATACAAGGCCATAGAAGGCATCCGCTTCATCGCCGATCATACGAAGAGAGAAGAGGATTCTACTAGAGTAATTATAATTTCGCACATTTTCGGATAACAACGCGATATTCTGACTGTTCTGACAGTTAGAATGTAACATATACAATTAAAAAAAAATTTTTACAAGATTTAAAAAAATAGGGTATCTAAAAAAATTTTGAAATTTAAAAATTCTCTAGATCTTTACGATATTCAGATATCCTTCAGGCTTTTATTAGATATCATTTAATAAATATTTGAATTTTTAGTGAAATTTAATTGTTTCCAATTGTATGTTAAATTATTCGAATAGCTGCATCCTTGTACAAAATATAAAACGTACGTAATATCTTTGAATAAAGACATGGTAATTTCCGTTATAAAGTCACGTTTCTTTATTGCAAGTATGTCAGTACGAAAAACTTTATTGCAATTTTCAATATAGTATTTTTCTCCCCATACCTACTCATACGTAAATCCGCCGTTTCGCGCCTGCTTTTTTTGCTTTAGAAAATATACATACACGAAGAGAACGTTTTTGCTGAAATATATAAAAATTAGGTCAGATGTAGATCTAAAAATAATTATGTTGGATGCTCAAATTGGCTGCTAGAATATCAAAAAACTTTTTGCAACATCATCATTATCATGCTTGAACATCTTATATTATTATTTCGAGTTCAACATAATTATTTTCAGATCTATATTTGGCGCCTAATTTTGATGTACTTCAGCAAAATCCGTTCCCTTTACATTCTCGTCATCTATACGATTTGACCGTAGGTCAAGGAGGATTGGAAGTACGTCGCGATGGTTCTCGACAGACTATTCCTCTGGATATTTACGTTAGCCGTGGTCGTCGGCACAGCTGGGATTATACTGCAGGCGCCGACCTTGTACGACGATCGCATCCCCATCGACGTACGGCTCTCCGAAATCGCCTCCACCACTGCCAAGCCACACATCGTCACGAGCCTCTGAGGGACAATTACTAATTGCATTAATGCCGCGCGCGTAAACCACGTATACAAACATATACACAACCTATTACTATTATTAACTACATCGACTACAGGCGACAAGCGAAACGTTATTGGCGTCCGAAAGACTGAAGCCTCGCTAGGTCTTCGACTTTTGCATGCAGTGCGTGTCGTTCGATTTTGCGCATTCGCGCCGCTGCCGAACGGAGAATTCTTACTATTGTTAACCCGCTAACCGTCGGACTTTTATTTTTCACTTTTAATTGATGGTATGAGAAAAAAATTATTACTAATTAATTATATGAAAAGTAAAAGGTTGCTTGGTTTCCACAAAGGAAACGGTGACTAATGGGTTAAGGCGATGTGAATTTCTTCACTTTTCAATTTCGCGCAACACATAGTAATATTCGTTAATTAAAAGATTTCTGCGCAGTTACATGTGAGAGAACTAAAAATAACGTCGATTTATTTTTGTCGTAAATTCTAAATTTTCAAAATTAGAAATCAGATTGATTTCAGCAGTCCTACTTTCCAATATCTTCTTCCTCGATTATTAAGAATTGTCATATTGCCGTTTATAAACGAAATAAGCGAAATACGCTTACGTATTAATTAATTGTGGCCTATAGGGGGTAGCGATTCGTAGTCACGCGTTGATTTTGTCGTCTTACTAAGAATTCCCGAGCCACAGCGGGAGATGAGCTTCCCGCGCACAGGAGGTGATAGAGGAAGGAGTAACACGACGAAAAGAATACGGCTGCGTTCCGTTTGGCGCTTACAGCTGATTACAGCGCTCACAAAATCATTTCATCCTTGTTGTTTATCAAATGTTAAACAAAGACAAATGATGCTTGTAAGCGCCAAGAGGAACGCAGCCTATGTCTCAACCATTTGCACGCTGATTGCGTTTGATTCCGTGTAGCACATGGACGGTGTAAGAAGTTCACAATGTGTAGGTAATACAGTCCGATGAACGCGAGACAGATCTTCTTATTTCTCGAATTATGATCGGAGGAAAATTGAAACTTATCGCGCGGATCGATAAAACGTACAATTATAAGATGAAATAAAGATTGGCTTAAAACAAAGAATCTAAACGAAGATATGCAATACGGAATTTACAGCCATCATCAGCTCGTATTTTGGCCTGCATATATCTGCGTTTAGATTTATGCGATTATCTTTTACAGTTTTTTTTTAAATATTTTATATACGTTTAAGATATAAATTTTACCGAATTCAATATATTTATTTGTTACTGATCAAGTTGTCTGTTCCAAAAGAAGGGATTGTTTGCGTTATCTAATAATACCTTCATCTTGCACGTATAAAGTAACAAGTTCGAATGATAAGAAGAGCTAGCTTAATTATCATCGGATTCAGATGCGGCCTGTTTCGCGACTAGGAAAATATAATGAAGTTTAATAAAAGAAATGAATATATAGTAGGTAAAAAGGGAGGACAAAACACGTATATACTGTAGAATTAATTCAAAAAGATCTTAACACAGTGCGATTTCGTGCCAGTTGCGTTTTGTAGAGATCGCGACAACGAGATCCGTCTCACATCACCCTACCATCCTCTGCCAGTTAACGTTATAGAGGGACACACTCTTGAACATACGAGACCCAAGCAATAAATTGACTACCCCCGAGCACATGTTGTTAGATCGCTCTCGTACAAGAGACGTACGCGAGTACTTTTGGAAAAGGGGCGAGAAGGGGCGGGAGAAAAAGAGGAAGTGGCGATTGCGCGAAAGATGCAAGTGGCGCGAAGTCGTACGAAGCCTGTTGCAGACTCAGGAACAAAATAAGAGGAATATTATATTTCCCAACACTACATCGAGCCTGTAACAATGGGGCCATATTTTCACAAAGAACGAAAGTGCGTGTTCTCTCTATATTTAAAGAAATTAAAGTAAATGAAAAATGAAATTCTAAATATCTGCATCGATTAACACGGCGCAGAGTTACGGGTTGGGCCTAAAAGAGAGGGGGGGGGGGGGGGGAAAAAAGGAGAGGAAGTTTAGAGGACTCAACTTTTATTGCTCATAATGTATATGTTTGTAATAAGAGTAACTTTCGTAAATTGCATTTGTTCCAGCACCATCCCGCACCGGCCGGACGTGGCGGGCATTTATTAAACGGATTTGATGGAATATATGATATAACGATAACGAGAATTGTTTCATAGTGTTTCCCACCGCATAATTTTTATCGTCTTCCTGCCCCGAATACCATTATAAATTTCAATTCGTTTCGACACACGGCGGCGCCCGCCGCCATCCTTGCCAAAAAAAAAAAAAAGAGAAAAAGGAAACAATAAATGTTACAAACGCGATAATTTATTATTAGCGTGACACATAACACATGTAATCGTGGATTATATGAGATAGTAGATCGCCGTGTTTGATACTTTGTACGTTTCGATATAATTTAGTACGAAAAAAAAAGACTCTTTAGTGCGTATACCAGCGCGCGATTATAAAGAATTTTAATTATAGGTAGATAATTTACCTGGTGGATGTAAATTGTAAGTTTTATTAATCCTACAATGTATCATTTTGGAATCGAAATATAATAATTTTGTCGATAAATAACACATACGTATAATTTAATTGACATTTCTAAATTACTCATCGGCTTCGAGGTATACGAAAGTTTCTTCGCAAATTTTCGTGCCTTACGAAATAAAGTAATTACCGTTTCAACGTGTAAAATTGCGTAACTATATTCGAGCGAAAAGAGTATTGAATATAATTAGTAAACATAATCGTTTATTGATTCGTTTTCACGTGAAATCACGTGAAATCGATGCGATGGATGAAGAATGTGTTACACATATTTTCAAAAAATAAAATAAAATTAAATTAAAAAAGAAAGATTATTTTAGATCGGATTTACAAATAATATAACAAATTTAGCGGCGGTTTCAATAAGCTAGATAAAAAATTATTTAAATAAAAGATTAGAAGTATGCTCTAGTATAAATGTAAGAAATAATGATAAAAATTTCAATTTTTTAAATATAAATACTTTAAATATTCAAGATGATTAAAGTAAAGTTTCACTGCGATGCAAAAATTAATTGTTCTAAATAAACAAATAAATAAATTTTGTTTATTTACAGAAATGAAGAATTACCGGTTAGTTATATTATTTTGTTTATTCCGAAAATAAAATTTGTTTACTTATATGTTTATTTACAGAACAACTAATTTCTACACTGCAGTGAAACTTTGCATAAATGATCTTAAATATTTAAAATACATAAAATACAAAAAAAATAAATTTAATTTTCAATAACAAATATTTTTATTTTAAAATATTTTTAAAACAAATAACACTATAAAAATGTATTGTTAAATAACAATATAATGCTATTCGCACAACTTCAATATATAAATTATTAAAGTATAAATATTAACATATTTCCAATTTCAATTACTTTGCAGGGAATGTACATACGAGTGATATATCCTTAAATACAATCGTCATTATAGCACTGAAATAAATTTTACAATTATTTTAGAATTTATTTTCTTTTTTGTTCAATGGACAGTGCTTAAACATGCGTGAATATAATAAGGATGACGATTTACACTTTATCGAGATAAGCACAGTGATAGTTAAAGTTTCATCTCTCTCTCTCTCTCTCTCTCTCTCTCTCTCTCTCTCTCTCTCTCTTTGGCGATATACATCCGTAAACGTATAAATAATCGTTACACACGATATAAAACAATATAACAAGATATTTTGTAAGTGTGTCTATAAGATTAAAATTATCTAATAAATTGTCGTTGTCTTTATTTATATAATACATTTATCAACAATTTCAATACGACAAAACGATATTTCTGCATCGTCCAGAATTGAAAGACACTGCATACGTGTAATTAGAAAGTACGCTGTATAATTTAAAAGATATACAGACTATCTTCCTAGGGTATAAAAAAAAAAGTAGTACCAATGTTCCACTTGCAAGAAAAAAAATCTGAACCGTATTGTAAGAAATTTTGGGCCAATAAAAAAAATCCGAGTTTCGTTTGACGATTTTAAGAGCGAGACTGTATGTTAAATACACTCTCTATACGTTACCTATGAAAATTATTGCGCTAACAATTTCGTTGCTCAAAAATGCACAGTATAACGCAATCTACTCGTATTACACATTACCTATTTACTGCCATAATAAACAAGGATGGTATCCGTGTCAAAGCCAACCAGCGTAATCGAATTTATGATGTGACCGAAAATCGACTTGTTACTGCGAATTAGTGACGACGTCTACATCGTCCGTCGACGCAAATGCAAACTGCACAATAACGTAATTTCGTATTAACAATAATAACGTCACATATCGTACATGTACAGCTTCGCAGACGCAAAAATTTACTATTTCGATTTAAGTGCAAATTGTATCGCACGAGGAAACGTATATATTCAATTTGGATAAAAGTGCCACATGTTCAATGAACCGATATCGTAATTTATAATTACATCTACAACATGAATTCAATGACCAGCGTAATATTTTTGTTCTTTTGAGTTATATATAGATGGTCAACCGAGCGTTTGAAAACAATACTCTTTGAACATTTGCCCCGAGAAAACGCGCCTCCGACTCGATTGTAACGTTACTGGAACATCCAGCTAACTGTTGTTCGAGAGATCCTACTAAATTATAAACTAAACGCGTAAACGATGAATTTTCTACGTAAGCGGGTGTACATCTACGAAATTATGAAATAATAAACTTAATTTTTGTATAAAAGTTGCAGTAGTCTTTTCGCACTGCTTCTGATTTTTTTTTTCATTGCGTTTCATTGCGCAGTACACGTACTTCAATTGCTCAATTCATTCTGTCGCTAATTTACAATTATTTACAAATATAGTTACATATGAATCTCAATAGAGAGCAGTACTCGTTGAACAATCATTAAAAAAAAAAAAAAAACAATTCGTACGTGTATTCAATGTTTTGAACATCATGACATCTATTTTTTCATTGTACAAGTAAATTCTTTAAAAAAGCTCGTATTTCTCGTCGTTAGTGTAAATTCCACAAAAATGTTATTTTTCAGAAATATTCCGTATGACTTTACTAATTCTCCTCTAACTCGCCATCTGTTTGCGTTTCAAACGGTTTCGTTTCTTCAGGCTCTTTCACCGATTGATCTGTACCGCTTTTAGCTTCACGAATCCTCCTAATTTTCTTCTTAATCGCCATTGCGCCTGTTCATGTAATAACACACGTTATCCAGGTTACAATTCAATTCAAGCTTTAAATAAGCTTTAAAAAAGGAAGTGTATAGAACTTACAAACTAGCGTTTGCCACAATTCGACTTTCTTTGCCGCTCTGTTATCACATTTCCTCAAAGATTCTCTATGCCTCTTATGAATACCAGCTAATTCAATGGCCTCTTGCGTCGGTGGTGGAAACAGACAAATTTCGAGCCAATGTGTGGCTTTTGCATGTCCAATGAGTCTCAGCCACACCTAATTACATATTTCCATTAAAATACATCCTTTGTACACACGTATGTAAACGTATACAGTATCAAAAAAATTAGCAGTGTTCATAATATCTACTTAAATAAGAGATAATAAGAGATAGGATGCTCGTTCCCCTACCGAATCTAAGCATTCTGCTGCAAACCAAAGCCACAAGCCAGGTTCCGTCCTTGCATATTTAACATCTTCTGACCAAAGCATAGATGTAGGCACATAATGTAAGTACAAATATATCCTGAGGAGACAAAAATGTAATGTGTGTTATATAATAAATTGATAACATTCCAATTGATAATTGAAAATATAATATCTACTAACCAAGTCAGACAGTGTAACAGGAATAACACCTTGGAGACTGGTCTCCCAACAGTTTGTAAAATGCACAACAGGATCCGACAGACATTAACTATCACAATGTCAATGGTTTTATACATTAGAAAGGTACCTATAACTGTACACCACCTGTAACTGTGAAACATACACATATAATATATCATTCTTACATACACATGAAATCACAAGATACATATATATGACATTAATGATATGAAAAATGACAATATAAACAATGTTAAATGAAAAATCAAGAGGATTTAAAGATTTGCTAAAATTTGCAGTTCTCTGAGCTGAGACTGACGAGAGATGAAAATAAAGATTAAGCAAATGCATAGAGCTGTACAAAAATAAAATGAAGGAAAATATGTCTGCGACAGAATAGTTTTCTAAGTGGATTACTTTTGCTGATACGGATTCAAGATGAAAGACGCAAAGAGCAAGTTCGCGCAGCCCTTTATCCAAGCACCATAGCACAGTATGTCGATCCCAGCTTGATGAAAGTAAAAGCTCTGATGCAGCGCGATCCCCAATTCCCGGTATGTCATTCCCTGCTCGTGGGACGCAAAGCTCAAGCTCTGCATGGTCGATGATTGCATGTAACATATACTACCAAAACAGAATCCGCAGTTCCACGCAGCCTCGATTATCCTGATTCGTTGTACCAACGGGAAGTGCATACGCCTGAACAACGACTGCGTGACAATAAAAAAAAATATATATAAATATACATATTTTAATAAATTTAGACAAAATAAATATATGGCATTCGAAGTTTAATCGTTGAACTCACGTTGAGAGACTTCTCGTACACCAAGTATAAAATCACCCAGAACAGGATGAGGTATCCCACGAGCACGTCGGTGTCCCGTACCTTCGTGTCGCTCGGATAACGCGAGCCGATGGCTTGCTTATTCCATAAATTCGGTAGGAACGGCAGAAATTTCGTTGGGTCGAGCAGGGAGTACAGGCCGATGGCCCAGCTATTCGCGGCTTGCTCATACATAATTCCTTATCGTCTGGCAGTGATACGACAAAGGCATAACATTGTTAGCGATGCGAAATATGAAATGGGACTGCCAAATGCCAATGATGTCGCTGCGGCGAGAACACTCAGATTTATTCTTTATTTCTCCAAAGTCCAGTCTCCATGCATTCGTTGTGTCTCGTGGTTTACAGGCTAACAGGCTTACAGCTGATAGCTTGTTGTCACTCCGACGCATGGTGGAAGCACATACCGCCATCTCACCGCGCCAATTTGAATTCAGCATTGTATGCATGTATGTATGTATGTATGTACATACAATAAAATGCATCATTTTTAATGCATAAGAAAGTGCATATTTCTATTTTTATAAGGATGTATTTTATTTATTATTATTAATATACTTATATATAGGTTGAAAACAGAAGTAATTAAAAGATATTATTGATGAAAATTTTTGCGATCGCCGATAGAAATATTTAAAAAATTAACTTAATTATATAATGCAATATTAAATTCATAATTTTTAATATTTATATATTAATCTAATATAATTAATAAATGATTAAGAATAAAATTAGAATTTTAGTTGCGTAAAAAAATTAATACTCACGTAAATTTATCGATTATTCATTAATTACTATGCTATATATTTAAAATAAAGTGTATTTAACTTTTATATTAAATTTCTGAAAATGTTATCATAGCAGAGCATTTTACAGACTAAATTATTTTCTTTTTTTTATCAAAATAAACATTGCAAAAAAAAAGAATATATTGTCTAAAGATGAGAAATCCGTATATAGTCTCATTGATACACTTTTTAATTCTTATTAATTATGTGCTATCTTATGTAAGATAGAGTAGACAATGGACTTGGAAGTAATTAATTTATTAACATTATAAGATTACACAAGTGCGCAGACGTTTTACAAATACCGTATTACAAGTATCTCAAAGATCCAGTGTGCTCACACACAATTTAATCTACACATCTCATCAGTGTTGGTATCGTCTGCTGAAGCCAGCATGTGTTTTGAGAATTGAGCTTTTTATTATACCTATCACGATATAAAATCAAGGCAATTCGTATACTATCTAATTCCGATGCAACTAAACACGTTTCGTGTGAAGCTAAAAGATACCAAACAATAGACGCACGCATACATCTTAATATTAGGACGATTATTAAGCGCTGTATTAGATAAAATTTGATCGATTAAATCAATTTCTAATTATTTCACCATAGCGCGTAAAACAACGGAGGAAGCACAAAATATTGTATGCGACAGTATATCAATTACGTAGCGAGTGTGTCTTGTATATGATACAATAATTGCAAATGCACCATTCACAATGGATTTAGTTAAGCAAAAAAGAACTATTTCCTAATAGAAATTTCGCATTAAATGAACTGTAAAGTGTGTACTTTGTCATTTCCACACATTTCTCTCAGAATCTTGAGAATAATAATTAAATTTCTCATTTCGCATAACGGTATAGTAAAAATCTGATTACATTCCGACTGTACACTTCCGTTTTTTCTCGCACAATTGCATGCAAGTATCAAATTCCTCATTAATTATCTAATTAACGTCGCCAATCGTTTAACGATCACGATTCCACGTGAATTATTTACCGGCAGCACGGTATTTGTATTCTAATGATTACATTACTACGTTACACACGTATTAATTATGATTCACATGTAATCATAATTTATACAATCTCAGGGACTCTCAAATATTTCGTTAATGTTTAATTATTTTACATCCATTGTGACAACGGATATTCTCCTTGATATTAAACAGCTTAGCTTTTAAGAATAAAGTTTTGTAAAAAAATGTTACATACATTCTTCGATTTTTTTTTTTTTTTAGTTAACTCGATATGTAAATAGTAGCGAATGTATCAATACACGTGTGCTGCTATTTGAAAATCCCTGAGATACCATATCTTGGGAGAATCGTAAAAGTATATAACTCGTACGGAATGAATATAGAAAAAAATTGTATCCTTAGCATAACTTAATCCTTAACTTAATCCACCTATGCACATCGAGTAAGTTGCATAATCATGAAAAGCTTAAATGTTTTTCAAAGCCTCTTCTTGAAACGCTTTCCTTTTATTCCACGAAAGGAGAACAAAGAAAATGCAGGGAAAAGACGCCTTTCAAACGATTTTTCAAATAAATGGCGCAGTACAGGCCCGAATCGTCGTCCAGCCGTGATTTCCATATCGGGACATTTAAGGTTTCCACAATTTTGCACGACTCACGAATGCAGATTACGTTGAAACGGTAAGTTTCAACGGATATATGGCACCGTATCTATAATTTACGAATCTTTTACATGTATATGTACATAAAATATATACAAAAGAGAGAAAAATAAAAGTGAAACTTCGCGCCGATTCGTCTCGAATGTAAAGCTTTTCAACGGATCACGTATGTGAGAGGCTTGAATATACAGTGTATCCAAGCATATAGAAAGATATGTACCGATTTAAGAATTATACCATTTATTAGAAATAATCTGTAATTTGTTCGAAAATTATTATGATAATAACAATTTTCCTTCGTCACATTTTTTTCTTCTTTTGCCACTCTTTATGATTTTTACTTTAGAAGTTTAAAAAAAATTCTTAACCGTAAACTATACAAATCCGATGCGCTATGATAATCATTCGGATTCTAATGATATACGCGTCGGGAAAGCATCTCACCGGCTCTATGTACACTGCAAACGTAGTTTACGAGTTTCAAAATTCTATCGGTACGTTTGGAAACCACGTGCACCGACGTAAGTGTTGTTCTAATTACGAGTTTTAAAAACAATTTATCGCGAACGAGTATATTCACAACTCGCGCAATTTAAAAACTAAACGATATCTCTTATTAACTTTACGTAGAAATAAATAATTGTAAAACGCTAAGTGTACGTACATATATATATGTATATATGTACGTACACACATACACACTAATGTCGGGGTCGCCGCCGCGATATCAGACAATGAATACGAGATAACATTATAACAATTCGCTCGCGAAAGCGAAAATCTGAAAGATTGGGGAGAAAAGTCTGAGGGCAAAAGTGGGTGACTTTTAGCGAAACTGATGCGACAGTTTCTACTAGTAGATGTATACACAAATTCCACAAGACGCACAGTTTGTACACAATCTTACTCAGCCGCTAGGTCGAAAAATGCAACTCGTTCTTTCGATGTAGCAGTATTTACAATGATTCAGAGGTAATTCGGTACTTCAATTACAAATCACTATAGTCACGTTAGACTTATGTTACAATAAATTGCATATGTTATAAAATAACATCCAACAATAGTATGTACACGAACTACTTCGACTCCATCTCATTTCTTTCCATATAATTTACAAAGTTTTTTTTTTAAATGTCCAAATGTCCAACAATACTTTTGTATTTTATATTCTCGGTATAGCGTTTAAATTTTATTTAGAGTAAGATCTGCTATATGACAGCTTTCAAATAAATGATTACATGTTACTTATATATATTCATAGAATCTATATTCATAGAGTAACAAAATGTCAAACTTTATTATATGGATCATTTTTTTAAATTGTTTCTTCAACCATTTCTTCATATTGTATTAACAATTCTTGTATCGATAGAAAATCTGTATTTCCAAACTGAATTCTTTTTAAGCAAGCACGAACTAAAACGGCCAATCTGCATCGACTTTAAATTAATTTTAACTCCTTAAATACAAAAGTAGTCAGAAACAGCGTAAAACAAAGAATTATTCTTAACGGCGGTGCTTCATCGAAAGAAAATTGTACGAGAAAATGCAATCTAGGATGTGACGCGGGTAAAAGCAATTTAAACTATCTAATTCATGCGTTCCGCTTTAACGCTCACGAGCATGATTTATCCTTGTTTGATAAACAAACAAGGATGAAACGATTTCGTGAGCGCTGTAAGCGCCCAAAAGCGTGAATACGGAACGCAGCCTAAGTGTGTCTTTCGCATACGAGATTTTTGTTTTACGTTTCACCTTCCATAATCGACACACGCATATATATATATATATATATATGTATACATCTAAACCTATTACTAGAAACACAATATGTTCCACGCACAATAAAGTAATGAAAAAATTATTTATATTATGTATAATCACATCCATCCCTGATTTTAGGTTCTTCTCATTTTATTGAATTAGACTCGACTGCCGGTGTGGAAAATTATTCAAAGTAGAACCAAACGTTATCTCCTCGTAATGCTATGGCCAAAAATAACGCGACATCTTACCTCGGGACATCTTATCTCATAGTCTCAATTCTATTCGAGAACTTGATAGTTTAATTTACGCGAAGTTCTACATACCCGACGACAATTTATTGTCTCGCATAGTCGCGTCCTCCTGTGTGAATACATTACCGAAATTCGCGTAAACTGATCGCGCGGACAGCGTACTTTTAACTACAGCGAGTTACTCGATAAAATAGCGAAATGATACCGGAGGGGGGAAGAGGGGGGGGAGTCAATGGCAAAAAGCGTCCTACGCGATTCGCCGTCGGCGTTTTTTCCGGTTTCCTGAGATTCGGCCGAAGTCTCTCAGGAGAGACCGAAAGTCTCGCGGGAGCGTCCATGAGATCGATTACAAGGCGAGGACGCGAGATTTGTTCGCGATGCCGACTAACACGGGGTGACAATCAATGACGCGCGGGCGGCGACGGTGACGACGATGATGATGCCGATGATACCGGCGGCGAATCAGACCTGCCCGCCCACGTCGGCCTGGTACCGCAACGTCAGATACTCGGCCGCCTCGGTCATGCGGGCGATACTGCTGTGGAGGCCGCGCAGATGACGCTTGAAGTTCTCGGCGGCGATGCTCGCCAGATCGACCACGCATTCTTCACCTTCGAGACCGCTGTCGATCTCGATGCCGTTCTCGGAATCCGAGTCGGAGGTCCAGGCGATCGAGGACGCGCTCTGCACGCTCTGCATGGACGTGGTGCTGGGGCAGCGCACGTGGCCGAGTCTCGTACTGCCGTTCATGGCCGCCGGATGGTGGTGCGCCAGCTCGGCTGACGGGCTGCCGACCGGGTGGCTCTTGATCGGCGTCTGCTCGTCCGTCACGGCGCCCCGCGTGGGCTCCTGCGACCACAGCAGCTCGATCTTCATCTGATTGATGATGTTGTAGAGGCGGTACAGATCGGTGTTGGCCAGGGTGTCCTTCACCGTGCAGCCGCGCTTGCCCTTCATGCAGATCGTGTCGCCCGCGTCACCCACGGACAGATCCAGCAGCCGGCTGGGCACCAGAATCGTGTCCTCCATCTCGTTGACGGTGCGCACGAACTTCTCCATGCTGTTCAGGATGCTGGCATTGCTGAACTCCGGCTCGTCGTGCCGGGCGATCCTCCGCAGATTCCTGCAACGGAAAATTATTCACTGTTCTTTTAACATGTTACACGTTTCAAGATACGTAGCCTTACGTTTTAAAAAGCGTTTACACTTAACTACGATCTACACTACATAATATAATTCTTTCATCCTTCCACAATAAGCAAAAATGATTGAACATTACATTTAACACTTTCGCTGTCATCAAAAAAATCTTACATTGTGTGCTCCTTCAGATGTCAGACAGAATAATGCATTAATGTTGAGTCCATGAGCACATAGTATGTCAGCGAAAATTCAGTGTGTATTGATGATTCACATAGCAAAAATTTTCTTTTTTTCGTGACAGCATAATCGTTTGCAATTAACGGCGATAGTGTCGTTTTTAACATTTTGCATTTTAAAGTAGCCTAAATGGCGTACGTTAGAAACCAATACTGCTGGCCTTCAAAATTACGATAAAATGCGATCAAGTGGCATTTTTTCCTTTGCTATAAGGCTAGAAATTTTCCACATCGACAATCTACTTTAAAAACGAATGAGGAATATATTATTTTGTCAACGTATTATTAAGATTTCGCGACATTTAAAGATGTAAAAAAAAACAATATAATCAAGTATTTATTTGTTAACTAATTTTTCATTAGCTCTTCATCAGATTATAACGGTTCTTTTTTAAGTATAAATAAATTTAACAAATACAAATCCTACTTTTAAAAAACAAAAGACTGTTATTACGCAACCATAACAACAACTCCGTTCGAACTAATCGAAACTCATTTTTTAACAAAACCGTTGGTATTCACGATCATGAAAGTCATTTGAATTTTTCCGTCTCTTGGCGCAAAGTCGCCGCCTATTCATTAGTAGGACTGACATTGAAACTGTCATTAAGATTAACTGAACGTATAGAATGTCCTTACACGACAGGTGACTAGTCTGATCTTTGCTCAACGGCCGGGGAGATATTCAATAGTCAAAACACATCATATAAAAGATTACTCCGAGCGAACGCCGGCGTCCTGTTGCTTCAGCGTTTTGCTGCGGAAAAGAAGATTTCTCAAACGGTTGATTTGTATGCATGCGCTTGACAATGATGGCGCAATAAAGCGAACATGACGCAATGTCATCAAGCAATGTAGTGTCGCGCGAGCGTGACACTTTGAGAGGAATATCTCCCCGTCTTCGATGCAATTGCAATTCGATTTCGTATCTTCGGAAAATACCAACGCTAATGACTATACCAATTTATACAACGTCCATGCACACACGATCGACAAGTTGCTGAAACTAAGTAGCTGTCATTTTGCAATAAGTGGAATAAAATGGAATAATAATGTTAAACTATCAATATTGGTTATTGCGATAAATATTACCACAGCCTTCACGGTCGAATAGATAAGATACCAGCCCTGGGAAAATCGGAAGGTTCCAGGTATGAACTTTGGCTGAGGTAATATTTTTCGCAATAAGTTCTTTACAATGTTTTAAAGATGCTTGTAGTATATATCAAATTGAAATCAATTTAATATGTAATATTATTTTAGCGTAAAATTATGATTGTGTTCTTAAAAGTCCGAAAGTAATTATAGCGTGCAGTTCACTATAGCTAAAATTTAAAAATAAAAAAATTAAAAATATTGACCAACGTCTAGCCTCAGCCATATGTAACTCTCTTCTCTATTTGTTCGTTATATAAATTAACAGCCTAATTGAAATTATTATTGTTAATATATACATACACAATATATGTAGGTATATAACACAAGATATGCATGATAAACCTCTCAGATCTTAACATTATCTTACAAATCAGGTAATGTAGATGTCTAATATTTTTTATTGATGTCACATAAGGTCAAGTTTGCGTTTTATTCGGTGCTGTCGTTTGTTGACCACTACGTTCGCTTGGTATCAACAACTTTTGAATTTTTCTTCTGGAGGATATCAAGAACGCAGTTTACTCCATCAAAGTGTCAAAACGTGAACGCCTTGCGCAACCGGATTGCGGCCGTCATTGGCACCATAATTAATGACATGCTGCATGGCACTTAGCCTGAAGTGGAATCGATATCCTTCGTGTCATTAAAGGTGCTCATGTAGAAGTTTGGTAACTTTTTGTAAGAAACTTTTTTAATTGTTTTTTTACAATAAAGAAAGGTATCCAGAAATATGTAAGTTTATTTCTCTTATTATTTCAAAATATCGGAAGTTTATCGCGTACACCTTGTTTATTTAATGTATTATATACTGTGTAATATATATTTTTTGTTTATTATTAAATAAACAAATTATATACTCCTAAATCCATTAGAATTTTACAAACCACGTATTATAGCAATTTAATATTAAAATTAAAAACAATGACCATTTCATTTTTGAAGCACAAATTTAAAAAACTCAACGTTCATCACAAAAGTATAATTACATATAAATAATATAAATTTATTTTTAAGTTGATTTTCAACAAAACTTATTTGTATTTGATATACAAAATTAATATTAATTGATATTTAATTGCCAAAGTAATAATAAGCCCAAATAAATCAAGAATTTTCTTCCGCGCAATAATATACGCGTTTCCAAAAAAATATCTACATCACGCGATGCCTTGCAGCTGTTGCATAATTAACGCAAATCTTATTGACATTATCCGAATTGATAGGATTAAAATGTTGATTCAACGAATCAATGTTTGTAACTGATTATGATATTAATATGAATTATTGTGTCATTGTTATTGCAATGTAAATCATTTTATCTGTATATAATAATTTAATGTTTCATGCATATTTCTCACTGATTTTACTATGTACATACATAAATAAATGCATAAAAGCAAATAAGCTAGAATTTACATAATAAATTTTCATAATAATTATGTAGCAAACAGTAATTAATAGTAATAACATTCATAGTTGAATAATTTCTTTAATTTTTCAGAAAATTTCAATAAATTCTTTCGTCAATGCTTAACTTCTTTTTTACTTCATATTAATATACTAAGATAATTTTTAAAAGCTTACGACGTAACAACATATTCAATCATGCAAGCATTATATTTTACTCGTATATATCAATAAAAATTGCAATATCATGATTTGAATTCGATTTTATTTCAATAAAATTTTGAAAAATGGGTTTATTTACAAAAATTATTTTTCCAAAAAAAAAAAAGCATTACCTTTGTCTAAAAGCATCACGAATATAAGATATTATTTTTCTCCGAGTTGTTTAAATGCAGATCTTGTTTTTCATTATCGAGATCATCAGAAGAATAGAGAGATATCCACTTTATCAAACGAATCTTTTTCGATCGTATGAAATAAAAAAATATATATATATACGAGAAGCTTTCAATTGGATTTACTGACACTGTGAAGTGCAACATTATTGTCCGTCTTATCGTCGCATCGCAAAAAAAAGAAGCGAACAAAGGAAAAAAAAGGAATCAATAGAAGCAATGACTTCCGCATTAGATTGAGTTTAGCAAAAAATTCTTGTCATTAATTAAGTGACCATCATTAATTAAATAATCGCGGGGCGAAGCTTATCTACCCAGCAACCGGCATTAGGCGGCGATCGCTGAAATTTGCAATAAAGTCCGACTGCTCGTTTCACGCATGAATATTCAATCGTTCTCCCGGCCGAATTCATGAAATCGCTTTGTTATGTTAATCGCCGATACTTGCATAGCGAGTACGTGAACAAAATGGAAATCTGCTATAAATGCATTGACCGGGGCGAGTTGTAAAAAAGTGCGCATCGTGCAAAGGTCCTCACGGCGAGTATCATATCGAGATTCGCTAACTTCGGCCTTCGCTTTCAGCGGAAAACGATGGGAACTCGAGAAGCGTAATTTCATCACGATTAAGTTGCAAGTGCAATTTGCGTTCGCAAACACATCGCACAAGCTCGAATTGCAAATGATCGTCTTATTGCACAATGATCGCGGCGACGCGACGGGCGACCGCGACTTTCTCCTCTCGCCGATTATTCTCTCCGCGATATTCAATAATGCAATATATATTGTTCTCTGCACATCGAGAGCGCCTTATATTTATAAACGGCGCATTGCAACGGCGTCACTCGGATCCGCGACACTCGGCTGCCTTCAACCCAACGTCGCCGGTAACCCTTTAAAAAGGGTTACGGGGAGTCCGTTGGAGAAGATAAACAGCGCGTTCTAGCGTTATACATCGATACCCGACTGATTAAGGACAGCGAAATTAAGCGAGGTGTCTCTCTCAGGTGACACGCTAAAAATAGCATCATGCCGTAACGTATAGCGTTCTACTTATAATTATAGGCCTACTCTGTCCCACTTGCACCGCAGGCCCGGTCCAGCGTGCATCCGAAAATCGAACTATCTCCCTCGCGCCGCGCCGCGGAACGGAGAAATCAAAACGCATTCCTTAGTTATTATCGAGAGCGTCGCGTCGGTCCGTCCTTTAACTCTCTTACCACATCGAAACTAGAGATCGAGAGAGCTCCGGTATGTGTAACACTCTCCCTGGATCTCCGATGTTACAGATACAGAAAATATTGGATGGTTATTTTTCGTCATTCGCGTATAATAAACACATGAGATCAAATTCCTCCGTTATATTGAAATCTCGATTGAGCAAACATTGTAACTAGATACAATCGATATCCTCGAAATTATTGTTCGAGAAAACTTCCCTCAACGTCTTGCTTTTTATAAATTTTATTCATAGAACTTCTTTCTGACTCATCTATCAATAACTAGGTTATCGATAACTTTAAGAAACACGCTTGAGGCTTATATGATGATCACTTTCCAAGATAAGTAGATTAGTGCTGCGATACGATCATTTTCTCGAAATTTTAAGGAGCAAGTTTTATGAGTTGTAAACAAAATTGGGACAAATAATGAACGAGGCTAACAATTTGGAAAAACAAGGAAATTGCCAAAGACAAAGTCTCTTTCCTAAAATTATATGTATATCGTAATTATACAAACATATGTCAAACACGTTTAACAAGCGAGATAAATAATATGTTAAC